CTAAATGAATATGGAATCTTAAAAGTGTTTAAATAACCTGTAGTAGATAGAGAAAAGAGTAACAGGAATGAGAAGACACGAATTACCAGTATCAGGAATGAAGCAAGCTTTTACAATAGGTCCTGCAGCCACTGCAAGATAGAGAATGCTATAAGTAATTCGGCAACTTCGATGAAATAGATCCATCCCTAAAAAACCACAAATTGTCAAAAATCAATCCGAAATGAAGTAATTTAAGTAGACTTAATGTGGTGGATTGACAACTGGTGGTCAACTTGTAACACTCAGCTGAACTGAACCAGCATGGTGCTGGGTGTGGGAAGCCCACCTGAGGGTTGTTGCCGGCAGCATAGGAGGCAGAACTGGAGAGGAAGAAGTTTAGAAGCTGTTGGGAGCTGCTGGTTCTCCTGAGGAGTTTGCCATGCTGGCTTTCCTGATGGACTTGGCTGTTACCATCATTGAATGAGCTTGGGACCTTCTTGTCGCTGAGGATGGCTATGGTTCACTTTGGGGGAGCTCTGGTCTTCATTTTGAGCAATGCTTTCTGGCTCGGGTGGGGAAGATGGTGCACTGCTCAGTCTCCTGGAGAAGCTCGTCATGCTGGCCTTCCTGGTATAAACTTGGCTGTTCTCATCGTCGGAGGAGCTCGGGACCTCACTGTCACTGAGGGTGGCTGTGGTACTTTTTGTGGGAGCTTTGGTCTTAATTTGAGCATTGCCTCCTGACTCCAGTACAGATCCCTCATCCTGCCGGCACAGCTCCCTCATCCTGCTGGCACAGACTTTCTAGATTCCACCGCTGACCTTTCGGCCTTCCTAGTGCAAATCCATGAAATAGACTTGCGTAAGACTTTGTCATGGGCTGTAGGTCTTCCGCTGGACTCATGCAGGTCATTGCCGTGGGACCCGGGCCCTCAGCTGGGTTCTTTTGGTCTTTAGTATGTGGACAGATTTCCTGCACTTTGTATTTGACTCTTTGGGTGACCATTAAAAAATAATCCTGTAAATTATGTGTCTTGTATTGTATTGTTTTCCCTTGCAAACCCTGACTACAACACTTAAAACTCATCAAGGAAAATGATTTTGTAATTAAAAGATTTCCCCCCAAATCTCCAGATTCAGATGGTTTCACTGGAGAATATTACCAAACATTTAATGAAGAGTTCACATCTTAGTCACTTTCCTCATCACTGGGACAAAATACCCAACACCCACAACTTGAAGAGAGGTTTATTTTGGTGTATGCTTTAGAAGTTTCAGTCCTTGCATGGTTAACAGCATGCATGGAGGGGCCTGGTGTGGAGGAGCATTGCTCACGTCATGGCAGCGAGGATGCAGAGATTTAGGAAGGGAGCCCGGGAGGAAGATGCACCCCACCAGCTTGCGCCCCAGTGACCCACCTCATGCAGCCAGGCCTGAGTCACCCCTCAGAGTTCAGAGCTTTTGAGCACATTAGGCTTTTAGGCACGTCCAGATAGGAACCATAGTGCGGTATCAATTTTACCGTATCTTGCAAAGAATTAAGAGGGATGACACTTTCCACCTCATTTTATAAGGCACATGTTAACGTGATACCAAAGCTTGACAAAGGCAGTGTAGAAAAAGAACCCTAAAGCAATCTGTCTCATGAACTTAAATGTAGAAATCTTTAACAAGGTGTTAATTAGTAAGTACAATTCAGCCTGATGTAATAGGAATTCTAAACCATAGCCCAGTCGGGTTTTTCCAGGCAGACAAGGAATATTCAGCATTCAGAAGTCAAAGTAATTCACCCTCTCAATAAGCTAAAGAAAAATACCTCATGTTCAGGTGATGTTGAACAAGCATTTGAAGGTTCTAGCTCATCATTAAAAACTCTCAGGAAAAAATAAGGAATATTACCTCAGAGCAGCTACAGAATTCTTACAAATCATTAACTGTGCAGTTCTTTAACTTTGTTTCTCTACTCACATGGTATTTGGTAGCCATTACTATGTGACTTGTCATGTGTTTTTATGTTTTTGGGCCTTGTATAAGGTTTGACTGTTTTGTCGATACCTTATATATTTTATTTGAAACTTGGAAGAGTGTGTAGCTCATAACGTCCTGACTTAAATTTTTCCTTCATTTTTTTTTCTTTTAAATACAAGCACTAAATGAGGTGGACGGGAAATTCTTTCATGAGAACAAAATAATTAAGCCTATTATCAACTAACATGATAAGCTGGTAGGATTCTGTGAAATTTTCATTCATCATGGATAGTGTTATGGTACCAGTACGCTGATGACTCTTACATACGGTTGTCCCTTAGTGTGTATGGGAGATGGATCCCGGACTGCTCCTTGCAACCCAAAACCCAAGGATGCCCATGACCCTCAGGGAGGGGAGAGGGAGAGGAAGTAAAAAGGATCAGGATGAGACAGGTATATATAGTAATTCCCCATAGCAAAGGTGTGTATTATATTTTGCAAACATACCAGTAAAAAAGGTATAATATTTACATAAGTTCTCTCTGTATGCGTCCAGTCATACTTTAAATCATCTCTAGATTACTTAAAGTAGCTAATCCAGTGTAAATGGCAAGTCAGTAGCTGTTCCTACTGTATCGTTTAGGAAATAGCCATGGGAAGTCTGTGCCTATCCAGTAGTCCTGCCGGGCCTCCGGTAAGTTTGATCAGTTGACTCCTGGGTTGTGAAACCTTGTGTGTAAAGGATGCCTGTGTGTCTCCTCCGTCACCCTCCTTCTTTGGTCTTACTGTGAACCCCATACTGTTGCAGTCTCTTCACGTCAGAATCCCCCTTATCTTGCATGACTTACTGTTTCATCCCTGTAGGGGGAAATGGCATGGATTGGACCTCTGCATTCCCTGCCCCTTTCCTCTAGTGATCTTCATCATTCCGCTCTGCGTTCACTGAACTCAAGCTCATTTTGTACAGAGCTTCTGGATGAACACACACACACACACTGGTGGTGTAATACTTAATTATAAAAAAGTTGACCTTCCATTTCCCCACCACACAAAGAAGAAAGGTAACTATGTGAGCTGATAAATATGTTACTTCACTTGATTGTGATACTCATTTTACAGTGGTATGTATAATAAATCACCATGATATACTTTTTTTTTTTTGGTCTTTTTGAGACAGGGTCTCATTCTGCATTTCAGGCTGGCCTTTGGCCTTGAGCTCACTTTGTAGCCCAGGCTGGTCTTGAACTTGCAGTGATCCTCCTGCCTCAGCCTCCTGAGTGCTGAGATTACAGGCGTGTGCCACCAGCCCGGCCCTTTTTTCTTTTTAGAATAGGAAGAATTTATTGAGAGAAAGAAAGCTTCTGTCTAAGAGGGACAAAAGGGAGCCCAGGCTGTGAGTTGCCTGCCAACCCCATTTCTCAAGGGTGTTCTGTTGAGCAAAGCCATGAGTTAAGATCAAGAGCTTTCCCAGGGTGGGTCCCTAACCCTTAGTAAAGCGTGTCTCCAGAGGCTAAAGCTATGATCGACCCCAGCTGTATGGCCAAACAGAAAATGAAACTAGCAGAGGACCTGAATGGCTATATTTTAACCATTTGAAAGAGAGAGAGAGAGAGAGAATGAAAGTGTTCTAATGATACTGTCTGGGCCTTACTTTCTAATAAATGACTGAATCAAAAGTTCTGAAATGCCAGCCTGCAAAAGAGATCTGTTGTCTCCAGGGACAGAGGCAGGTAATAGTCCACAAGAAATCTCGGCCCTAGGACAAAGAGGTCTTCGAGACGTTTTGGGTTCTCCATAGTCACCTAGGTAGCTTTCCTTTACAGCAGTGCTCGCTAGGCTGTATTTAAATCTGCTCTGCAAATGTGTATGCCTGGGTATCTGATAAGCTGAAGAGACTCACAGGGTAAAGTCTGCACCCATTGTCTCTCACTAGAAGTCAGTGATTTAAGTGTAACGTTACATCTCCTCAGTCTAGCTTATAGGTCTGAGTAAGTCCTCCAAAGACCTCAGTGTACTTACCAAGATTGTCTGAAAACTTTGCTAGATCTTGCCTGGCCTGTTTGAGGTCACTGAGAGGAAAGGGGCGCGTGAATGCGGGTAGTTCTAAGTTCCCCGTTGACTTCTTGTAAGGGATATTGTCCTTGAGGAGCTTGAATAAAGTCAACTAAGGATGGATACAGCCTCACGGGGGCTTTAATTTTGGCTGGCCTAGAAGCGCCCCCCTCAGAACCCAAAGGGCAAGTCGGGGAAGCCTCAGACTCAGTAGTTGTGGGCAAGTCTTTGATTAAGGGTTGACTGGGGCTGGGGATTTAGCTCAGCGGCAAAAGCGCCTGCCTGGCAAGCACAAGGTCGTGAGTTCGGTTCCCGGTACCAGAGAAAAAACCAAAAGAAAAAGGGTTGACAGTGTTTTTAAAAGCTTGGTATTATTTTGATCCCAACTCTGAGTTGATCTGGGATATTTCTTTAAATTACCTTCTTCTTCCGCTTACTGACATATGTGATTTTTATCACTCCTGCCCGTGGCTTTATTCTTCTTATTAAATAGTCTTGGGGTTAACCTGTGTCTTATACTTGTTAGTGCTGTGTGTCTTCTTAATTGTCTCAAATATGCCAGAAGTCTGCCCATTGAATTGACGGGGAATCTGCTCCAAGATGCCTTCCCTTGCCCTCCCACCCCTACTCAAAGTGGGGGTCCTTTTGCACATGAGTATGGTCTCAGGTTCTTGGGAGCTTGTCTGTTCCCTGGCATTGCATATTATTGCACTAATACACGTGAGGCATCTTGATGGATTTTAACTTGGAGGTGTCAGAAGCCCACCTTATGGAGCTTTCAGAGTTAATGAATCATCGATTTATTTGACTAGGTTTTAGAAAGCCTGAAACACTATCAAAATAATATAATGGTAGAATATTAAATGTCTGCATCATGTAGATAACAGTAGCAGTATTTATGGTTATGAAATACATGGCTTATTCTTCAAAGCCTTGGTTTTTTGTTTCTCTGCTTTGATGATTTTACTGAGACTGTGATTTGTCTTTTGCTTGTCATAGTCCATGCTTCGAGGGAGAGGAGGTTGCTATAAACACACATTCTACGGCATCGAAAGCCATCGCTGCATGGAAACCACCCCAAGTCTGGCCTGCGCAAATAAATGTGTCTTCTGTTGGCGGTAAGTAAAAAATGCACGACAAGGGTGACCAGGGACACACGCGACCGAGGGACACTCAGGCTTACTGAGAGTGTGCTTTCTGAGGTGAAGCTTCCTTGCATTCCTAACATTATGTAGTTATCCTTTTTTTTCTTTGACCAATTGCATACAGAGGTTGTCAGGTTTTTTAGTCTTTTTGTAATACTAATTTTACCCTCTGGATCCTATTCATTGTTATCTGTCTGTCTACCTAGCTAGCTATCAACTAATCATGTATTTATTTGTGTATATCTGTTTTCTAGTTCACTAATATACTACTGTTTTTTAAAAATTTTTTTCTAGCTTAAGTTGGATTGTTAAGGTCATTAATTTTTAGACTTAATAAAGTCTGAAACTTAATTATAAGTTTTTCTTGGGGCTGGGGATTTAGCTCTGTGGCACAGCACCTGCCTAGCAAGCACGAGGTCGTGAGTTCGATTCCCGGTACCGGAAAAAAAAAAAAAAGTTTCTCTCTAAGTACTTCTTTATCCATATTCCATAGATTTTATAATATGCTAAGTATTCAGTTATGGCTTACTTATTAATTTTCATGTGACTTGTGTGTAATTCATGGGTCAAATAAGTACTTATTTCAGATGTTATATAGCTTGGATTTTAGTAGGTTATATTTTTATTCATTTTCAACCAGATTGTTTTATTGTTATAGAATATTTGATTTGTAATATATTTTAAAAATTTATTGAGAAATACTATATGCCTAATATATTGTCAGTTTTTAAAATTCTATCATATGTACATGAAAAAGTGTGATTTTTTTTTTTTTTTAAACAAATTTTTGGGTACTAAAACAACAAACTTAACTGTTACTGAGTACTTGTTTTATTATTTAGAGTTCCTCTTTATCTATAAAAATGCCCTTTTGCTCAAAATCTGTCTTAGCTGGTGTTGATGCAGGTATAGTAGCATCCTTTTAGTTATTAATACTTGCCAGGTCTTTATTTTTCCTTCCTTTCTTTATCCCTAATCTTGTGTTTTAGGTGTTTCTTATAAACAGTATTCGGATCAGTCTTCTGAAAATCAACTTCATTGCAGGTTAATTTACATAGAATGTTCCTGTGTAACCTGAGCTCACAGTTTGGGGAAAGGGTATGCCTGTGTGACTAAGGCACAAGTAAGGTGCAGAGCGTTTTCATCACTCCCAGACATTGCCTCGTGCCCGCTTGGGGTCGGTTTCCCTCACCTCACCCTCGCCCCAGTGCCAGACTGATTCACTTTCTGCCAACCTGCGTCATCTTTCTTTTTCTAGGCTTGCGTAGAAAATGAACTATTTGTAGTTTCTTTGGCTTGGTGAAAGGGGTGTGAGATTCCTCCGTGTTGTTCCACGATTCAGCAGTTCCTTTCCAGTGCTGAAGAGTGGTCTGTCCTGTGGTTTTGCTAGTTTGTTTGCCATTCCTCTCTACCTGAATACTGACTGATTTCCGGCTTTTGACTGACTGTGGATGAAGCTGCTGGGAATATTGGTCTGTAAAACTTTTGTAGGTAAATGGTTTCATTCTTCTTAGACAAATATCTGTATGTGGAATTACTGGATTTTTAAAGTCCATTTGGATAATATGTTTAGTCTGTCTTATTGATAATGATTATTGCTAAATATTGACAAATTATCAGTAAAGACTTATTTTTATTCTATTTTATTCTTTCTTTCTTTCCTCCTTTTGCTAAGTTATCAGTTTGAATATTGGAGACTTTTCAGGTTGTCTTACTGGAACCGCAAGGTCCGACTGTGTATTTCAGCTGTTATAGCTGATCACTTGTGGAACCTAATCTTCCACACAGGTTGGGAATGTTTACGTGAAGGAATTGCTGTGTTTCTCTCTCCCCTTCTCCTCCCATTTCTTTCTTTCACTCACTGCTTTGCAGATTCCCTAGCTCCTTTGTCCACTTTTCTGTTCTCTGCAGGAACATCTCTGACTCGTACCTCCACTGCAGCTCGTGTTACTATGATCACTGATGACGTCCTTCCTAGAAGTTACTTAATTATTATCTTAGTTGAACTCTAGCGAAGAGTGCTGGGTAAGGACTGCTTCGACTAGTGGATTCAGATGCAGCAATCTCCTTGTGTTGTAGCCTCCTCCTCCCTTGACAGTTTCTGAATTTCACCATTAGCTCTTCAGTTAATTCATTAAGAAAACTGAAAACAAATTATTAACATATATTGATGGCACAAATTAATGAGACTCACCGTGCTATTTGCATGCATACATACATCACGTCCCTCCAGCCTTCGATTCTTGTTCCTTCCTCTACTCCCTCCCATATCTTGCCACTGCCTCAAACTTCCTCTTGCACTCTCTATCCAACATATCCTCTCTGATTTTGTCCTTCATTCTTCTCTCTGTGTACGATGTGGGAGGATAAATTGCCTTCATGCCTTCACTGACTTCTTACAATTTGATATTTTAAAACTTGTCATCTCTGGGTCCCATCTCCTTTCTGAGTTTTCTATCTCCACTTGTAGTTGCTGATTGCACCCGTTCCCTTGGGTGATGCATGGGTCGTTCAAGGCTTGCCTTGCCCGCAGTGGACTTCCTTGGCCTCTGTTTTAACCCATTCTTACTAATACTGCCATTAGCTGTCCAGTAGCTTAGGCTTGAATTTCTTCCCCCATTTCCTCACTCACCAAAATCATTTGCTTGTCTAATTCTGTTGATTGTGTTTCTTTATTTCTCCTTTTAACAGTGAAAATGATATAATCTGTTACAGTCTGTGCCGTCCCTTAATTTGTCTTTATATTGGCATATGGCTTCTAGTTGTTTTTTGAAATGTTACGTTAAAAATGTTTTTTTTTTAAATTTTTTTTATTTTAAAGAGTAAGAGAAGGATAACAATAATGGGGGGGGGCTTACCAAATTACAGACAAAGTGGTAGGAAATTATCAATGGTTATTGTTTTATATATTGTTATCTACAAGATAGTTTCTCAGGAAAACAGACAAATAATAGTGAGTTACAGACAAAAGAGGTAGGAGATTATCAATAGTTGTTGTACTCTACTTAGGTATCTTCGAAAGAAAATAAATAGAACTATACATGAGTGACCTATTGAATAATCATTAACTATTCTCAATGGTTGTTGTAGGAAACACCTGATAATAAACATGCATCCATTTATGAAATAGGATAGGAACAATGCAAACATTACAGAGTTATGGATAGATTAGTAGGAAAATATCAATGACTGCTGTAATACATGTTGGTATCTTAGAAGTGGTTTCTCAGGAAGACAGAGATATGAAAGAAGGATCTAACAAGTAGTTACAGCCTAAGGGTTGTCAAAAATCAAGTGAGCCCTCTGGGGCGAAAGCCATTTTTTGTAGCGTTTTCTCTCCAGCCTCCCATCACATTGGGACCCCACAACCAGTTAGTGTCCTCTCCCCAACTGTCAGCACAGGCAGCAGGAATCCTGCAGACTTCTGCAGACTTCTCCGGGGCTCCACCACAGCCTGTACTGTCAGGGGAAGAATGGCTTCCAGGGAGTCTCTGCAGGTATTGTGCAAGGTCCTCCTGGTTTACAGCTTCCGAGTGCTCTCATGACCCCAGTCCACTGGACCTCTGACTCTGTGGGCTTAGTCTGCATTCTCATGTTCTCCAAGTCCTTGTTCAGCAGCTGCTCCTCTGCTGACTCTAGACTTTTGTGGTTCTCAATGGCAGGAGCAAGAGTGGCCCATTGTATAGCACGTATTCCAGGGGTTTCTCCATGTTTGAATGATTCACACACGTCCTTAGGTGGGCATCTGCAGCCAGTGCATGGTGGGCCAATTGTGTCATTGTTTCTGTGTGTCATGATAGTTCTCAATTGAGCAGCGGCGGCCAGCCTGAAGGCCGGTGTGCCACAGTGCTCTTGGCTGCATGGCTCCCCATGCGCCAGGGGCCCTCCCTCCGGGGGCTTACGAGGCAGGGAGTGAGCCAGCCAGAAGATAGGCGCTCCCCGCCCGTGGCTCCCCATGCGCCGGAGGCCCCATGTTAAAAATGTTATATAATTTTGATTTTAGGGTTACAGATAAGTTTTGCTGAGTGGGCACTGTTCACAAATGTGGGATCAGTGAATAACGAGGATCGATGATACTTTGATTGGCATCACCTCAAGTGCAATAGAAATAAAAGATCTGCCCATGCACAGCTCTCCCTCTTCCCCTTCATGTTTTTGCCACAGATTACAACTTTAAACATTATATACCCTTAACATAGGTATATAATTGGTGGTCTTATATTGTATGTTTATTTTTTACATCATGTAGAGAAAAAGAGGAGCTACAATAAAAATGCAATATAGTTACCTTTATATTCTTTTTTCTTGGTGTGGTTTGAATTGTCTACTGTCCTCTCCTTTTAGAGCAAAACCACTAGCAGTGAACTCCTGGGACTTTGTATTTTTCAGTGTTTTAATACTATTTCTAGTATTCAGAAGAATAATTTTGGTGTGATTTAAAATTCTTTACTGATTTTTTTCCCTTTAGTATTTTAACTGTGTCATGCTATTGCCTTCTGGCCTCTGGCTGTTTTCTTGTTCGAGTTTCTTATACGTGATGACGTCTTCCCTCGTGCTTGCTTCAGGGTCCTCTCTTTATTTTTCAGCAGTTTGATTATAACATGCTTCAGTGTGAATCTCTTTGAATTTATTCCATTTGGAGTTTGTTTTGCTTTTTGTCTTCTATTAGTTTGGGATGTTTTCAATAGTAATGTTTTCATTTACTCTTCCTGCCTGCTCTGCTGTTCCTCCTCTGGGACTCTGTTATGCATATGTTGGTACACTTGATGGTGTCCCATGTCTATCATCATTTCCTAAAGCTCTGCTAAATTTTCTGCACTATTTTTCCTCCTTAGATTAAGTAATTGCAAATTGACTGCTCTTTAGTTTCACAGTTATTTTTCTTCCTGTTCAAATCTACCTTTGAAACCCTCCAGTGAACTTTTCATTTCAGATGCTGTTCTTCCTAGCTCCAGAACTTGTTTCCTTTTATC